AAAAAAAAAAAAAGAAACTTCACTAATTATTTTTCAGTTATTAAGATATTCATGTGGTTTTCAATTAATATGTATCAATTATATAGTATTTTTAAAATCACTTAAATTTGGTGAAATATGATTTAAATCAATTATATATAGTATTTTTAAATAATTGCTTTGGTGAAATATGATTTTTAGTGAAAATTAGGGGAACTTCAGAATTTTATAAAGCACTGGATTAACTGTTGTAGCTAAACACTACCTACGCGCAAACCAGCACAACTCACCTCATAGACGTCCCGCTTATTCGCCGTTCATTTTTCCGGCGAGATCCTGATCTTCCCGTCGGAGAAGCCGCACCAGATCCGAGTTTGAAGATCCGACGCCGTTTTGGATCTCAGCCTACCCCAATCTGACCGATGGCTCCGGTTTCGGCTCTTGCTAAGTACAAGCTAGTCTTCCTGGGAGATCAATCGGTCGGGAAAACGAGCATCATTACTCGCTTCATGTACGATAAGTTTGACAACACTTATCAGGTCAGCATTCAGTTTGATGCCGATTTTTTTTTTTTTTTTTCAGAGTTTTCTGCTGCATTCGTTTTAGGGAAAAAAGTGCATAAGATGTAGGGATCTGATCCGTTTTATGCCTGATTATTTGCTTTTCTTCTGTTTTCATGAATTAATATTGTTTATTTTAGCTGCTGGTTCTCTTGTTCGTCGTCTATGATGTCTATGATTTGTTTCTGTCGCCTTCTTCGGTTTCTGGCTTACTTCTGTCAGTGAACTTATAGTAGAGATTGTTCTTAGTTCAGTGTAGTTGATGATTGTGCAATAGCTATTGCGTGGTGCAGTGATGGTATGGTGGTGATCATGATTTATTGATAATAACATAATAGAATGTAACTCGTAAGCGGTAAGCCGTCTCCTATGACTTGGTTGGTGTCAGAAACCCGTTTGTAACTCCAGCCGAATGGTGTCTGGAAAATTGAGAAAGTATTTTGATGAAAAGTTTCAGGAAGGCCTTTTTGTTTCATTCTTTTCTTACTTTTTCTGGTGATCTTATAGTGGAGACTGTTCTGATGTTCTTAGTTCAGAGTAGTTGATGATCGTGCAATAGCTAGGTAGTGCAGTGATAGTCTAATTTGTTTATGGTGGTGATCATGATTTACTGTTATATATTGTAACTCATAAGCTGTCTCCTATGACTCTGTGGGTGTTCGAAACTCATTCATAACTCCAGCTGATTGGTGTCTGCAAAATTGAAAATATATATGGCTGAGAAGTTTCAGGAAGGCTCTTTTGTTTTTTGTTTTTTGTTTTTTTTTCTGTTTTAGTATTTTATAATGATGAATTCAAAGTTATAATTAAGTAAAGGTGTGAAAGTGGGGATGGGAATCTCACAGCCATATCCATTGTTTTTCCCACGTGATTCCTTTGCAGGCTACTATTGGCATTGATTTCCTTTCGAAGACTATGTACCTTGAAGATCGAACTGTGCGTCTGCAGTTGTGGTAAGACATGATTCCTGACAGCATGTTTGTCTTTGACCAGTATCATGCCTATGCAGTCTTGTTGAGAGCATTTTCGCCATGCAGATCATGTGCATTTCAAGTTTGTAAAGATAGCGATTTTCTGTTAAAAAAAACTAGTACGTACCCTGTGCGATGCACGGGACAGAGATATTAAATTAGTTATTTTCACAGATTATGTCCGTTTAAGCATAGTTTTTTAAATTCGGGCAGGTCTCCGGGTCATCGGTTCAACCGTCGGGTAACCGGCAGTTGCTGAACCAGATAATAAATTTTAAATTGTTTTAAATAATATATAGAGTATTTTGTCATATAAATTTATATAAACTAAAAAATTAAAAGTTTTGTATATACGATTTGTACATTAAAGTGTGAATAATATGTATTTCATGAGAATATTATACATATTTTTATTTTTTAAAAACAAAAATTATTTTAAAAAATGAAAAAAAAAATATACGGACCGGGTCAATGCCCTGGGTCGATAGGGTCAAAGCCAGGTTGGCCAAGTCCTTTGTTGCCTGGTCCGAATAGTCCACCCGGTCCGGGTTGAAAAACACTTCGTTTAAGTCTAAAAAGCAATAGGTTATCATCTATGTTCTATCTCTTTTAATCAACATTAAGTCGAATAAAAAATAAGGTTATAATATATTTTTCACTTTTAATCAACATTGTTTTTTTGTCTGAACATTAAATATGAGCATGTTAGGGCTAACTTGTAAAATTATTAATGTATTATCTCGCTAACATATTTATACTAATATAAAATTGATTTTACTATATATATTTATTCCTTGATATAAGAGAAAATAAAAGTTTTACTTATTTTGTTTACCATATAATACTTAATATTATTATTTATTATAAACTTTATTGTCATATAATATCATTATTCTTTATAATATATGAGTTGTACGTCTTCTTTCTTCTTTTTCTTTTTATTAGAACTTAAATTATGTTGTAATATTTATCTTGTCCAAAATATTATCAACATGAATCACGAAAATTCAATTTTGTAATCTATTATAATGAATATCAATGAAATTATTGTTGATATTACTAATATTATTTAAGGAACAAAATTTTTATATCATATATGATTTGATCTTATATCAAATCGTGTGTATATATATATATATATAAGCTATTAATGAATATGTTTAAAAAAATTCCAAAAAAAGGTATGCAATAAATGTTTTC